CTCCTGCTGCTATCAATCTGCCTTGTAAGAGGGAGGAAGAGGACAGAACTGCAGATCATGGGCACAGCACTGAATCATGATTGGGCTCAGGAAAGTATAAAGGGTGGGTTGGGGGGGATCCTGGTCACAGAAGGGTTTTTACCTTAATACAGAGAAACCTTAAGGCTTTAGAACCATTTTATTTACATTTTTTTTGTAAAATATAGATTGTATATACATAGTATAAAAAAACTGTTTAGGAATAAACCTTAAATAATTTAACCCAAAGCTGTTAGTTTACCTTTAAAGTTCAAACATAATGGTCACTCTAATCAGGGTATTAATGTATAGTAGCCATCTACCCCTTGAAGTGTAACCAGACCATTAATACTGGATATTCTCAGTTAAAGGTATGCTTGTCTATAGGCAACAGACAATAATTGTATATTTCTCCCAACAGCAATGATTTTTTGCTATATGCATTTTTTCTCTTTATTGAAACATGTTGTCTTACATAAGCATTTTTGCTAGAAGTAAACTAATCCTTAATCTATCCAGCTACTTTTACAGGATGTCAGTAAAATGTTTTTGATGGATTATTATCAGTCTTCACTGATTGCGCTAATGTGAACTGATAGATTCATGTCATGTAGCTTAGTTTTGAGATTACAAAGAAGTTGCTCATTCTGACTTTGTAGCAGCTCTAACTCAGTGATGCTTAGCCCGATAATAATGTATAAATCAGGAAGGTGGTCTATGTCAGACTGAGACAGACATTTTCCAGACATAATAACAAATGATAGCATTAGATGTCCCAAAGTTATGAGGGGAATCTTCTTATTTATGCTTCAGATAGAAATCTTGGTTCAATCTATGAAAGGATGAACTTTTTCCTGACATGAAGTAATGCAAGCAATCAAAAGATCAGTATGAAAGTCTAACCCGTTCTTTATTGTACCATGCAGGACTGTTTAAAAAAGAAAAAAAACGCATAACATAAATAATGTTAATGGCAATCAATTTAGTCGTAACTCTGTAATGAGATGTAGAGATTGGCTTAGAATAATGTAGAACCCCAAGATGAAGCCATAAAATGCTCACACAGGATATACAATTTTCAGGTAATTTTGATTTTTTTCATGACCGTCCAACTATGTACCTGGCACAAAAATTTTTTTTAGCACAATAATTGAAATAGGAGGTGGGATGATTCATTTTTTAGGCCACATTGGGGGGGGGCAAGTGTGCCCCCCCTCCTCAAACATACTAGGTCACTGGTCTTCAACATTGGGTGTACCTTATCAGTGGGAACTCCTCTGGCAAAGCACCTTGTTCCTTGTCTATGAGGACAGGTGCTTCTTTCCCGTAACCAGCATTTAGGTCATGCTTGGCCACTGATCAGCACATGAGTAAAGAATCTGGAGAGCATACGAAAAAAAACGCCCATGAAATACAACCCTGGATGCTCTGCATTATTCAGCAACTTTGTGCACAAGCTCTTATGATCTTTCAAGACCAAATAGTGGGGTAAATTCTGTCATTGTGGCCCTGATTCACCCAGACCCCTGCTAAAATTTGACCATCCATTTTTATTTTTACTATCCATTTAAAGGGATAAAGTGTATGTATAATCAAAAACTATCTTTTTGTTTTGGATAGTATAGGGTAGAGAATTTTCACACACATTTTCAAGCTGCAGCATTTTTGTTGAAGCCAATGAAAAATAGTATATCTGTGAATTCATATGTCCTCTTCTCCCTTTTATCTTATTTTGGTTTTCAGTGTGATGTTATGTTGACTTCTTCTCTTGGAGCTCATGCTACATAGATACTATGCCATGTTTTGTGGTAGTAATTGCAGCAACTGCTGCATTGTTGAGTGGAAAAGCAAAAAAAGGGAAAGAACAGGCAAAGAAACTGGATCCAAGAGGCCAGTTCTGGGTGATGTACAATGACCTGCATGCACATGAAGAGAAATTCTTTGAATACACTAGGATGTCAGTGGAAAGGTAAGTTCAGCATCTCCCTGGGCGAATTGAGTATATGTAAAGTGACATTGTCCTTTGTAGTTTTTGTTCACTAACCCCGCTATGTCTTTCACAATATTGAAAAAAATACTGGGTTCACTCTCTAGACCAGGGGTGTCCAAACAATGGTCCTCCAGCTGTTGAAGTACTACAAGTTCCATCATGCCTCTGCCTCTGGGTGTCTTGCCTGTGGATGTCAGAGTCTTGCAAGGCCTCATGGGACTTGCAGTTCCTCAACACCTGGAGGGCCATAGTTTGGACACCAGTGCTCTAGATGTTCGAAGTGAGAAGTCACATTCTTTAGGACAAAAGTGTTCTGGCTCTGAAGAGGCTAATAATTACATTGTAGTTAGGTTTATTTCCTCTACTATGCTCTGAAAGTGTTTTTACTTTTAGGACATACTTATCTGTATCCTATGCATCCCGTGTTCTTTTGCAACCCTTCAACAATATAATCAAAGGGAGCATGTGGTGGTAGGTTGGATGAATGCATTGTGAGGGAGTGGTGGATGTCGGTGCACAGTGTAGCTGTTTTGGTGGAATAACTGGTTGTATGATAAAGCAAAACTGACCCAGAGATAAACCAAGGAAATAAATAAAGTGGTATTTCTAAGGTGGGTGGTCTTTCGCAGAAAATCTCACACAACTACAAATACATTAATAAATATGCTTTACATATAAATTAAAAAAAAGGGCACAGCATCCCCAGTGTTTCTTAAATCAATTACACATCACATTAAGTTGTATGCCAACATTGGGACATAAACCCCCAAAAATCCTTCCATAACTATATACTTTGACCCAGCTTTCCTATGGAGAATACTTAAACCACTGCACCATTCCCAGTTGGCTTAATTTATGAGATATTAATGGAAAAAAGATTTTATGTACTGTGGATGGATGGAAAAATTCCAATGCCTTTCACCCAAAGGGCTTCTTCAGGGAACAGATGGATTATGTTCTGTTGATAAAAGTAAAAACAGCACATAATAAAAATGCATACAGTGAAAGGGTTTACATTAATTATGTTGTCAGGGTGAGTGTGCAGGCTGCATATTGTCACATACAAAAAGTGAGCTTCCAAACCCCAGGGGCCACACATACATAGGTATTCAATTTCTAAATGTCACAATATTTGTGGTTTTTCAAGTTAGCACAAAAAAAAAGAGAGAGAGAAAACAATGAATGACAATTACCATGTCATGGAAGTTGCATCGCCCAGGAGGACAGAAAAAGGTTCCATCTGCCAATAAGGAAATAGATTAATAAGCAAGCCTTCCATTTTGATGGAAAAATGTTAATATTTCAGTAAAACCATCAGGTAAAGGTAGAAATGTGGCTATACTTCATAATTAGCAATATATAAAAAGATGTGTTTTGACATTTTCAACAATTCTGATTGGTATTGGAAACTGCTGTCTGCTGATATTTTAAAAGTTATACAGTGCATTTTTAGGATGACTGATTATGCTGTGGAAGAACAGATTCCAACTAAAAAAATGCAATATTTATAAGTGATTAACTCAAAAATACACAATTCTTAACAGCTATAAGAATAGAAGGCCAACTGTGTTGTATAAAGATTGTTTAACTACATTAAACTATTTTACATGCAGTGCATGCCAAACCCAAATTACTAGTAAGGAATATTCCCGTGGATCAATACCTTAGGGTTTAGAACAAATTTCTCCAATGAGAGTGATTTTAAAACCAAGAGCAAAAGAACTATCTAAATTCCCACGAGTGGGGAGATGAAGTAAAAAACTTTACACACCAATTAGAGAGTAAAAAAGATGTAGAATGGAATAGATCACTTGTGTCACTGCATCACCTTTGAAAATATTATACAGCTAGGTAATGCCATTTACTTTTACAGTCAGTTAATGTCATTTAGTATAGCATAAAAAATAGTAAAGGTTGACAGAGTTTTTGTACCACACAAATAACAAGCAACAAATTAGGACTGAATTTTCTAGCTCTGTCCTCATCATAACTAAAGCTGGCCATAAACACAAAGATTTCCATAGACTCCAAGCAACATTAAAGGAGAAGTGCCCTTTTGGAGATACTTCTCCTACTCCTCTGACCCATTTTCAGCCAACAACGGGCTAAAGCCCGCTAAAGGCTGATGTCACAGAGCTGGTCCAGGCTCTGGAAAGATCCTGACCAGAAGCCTGGATCGGCACCTGTCTCAGCCTGTCAGTGATCTGCAGAGAGCCTGAGCTAGCCCCAGTGAGCTCTGGAGGGGCACAGCAGAGAGCTGTGACTGATAGTCACCGGCTCTCTGCTCTTAGAACACTGAGAACTTAGTAGGGGGACAGATGCAGCATCGATTGATGCTACATTCACCTAGATGAGTATATTATTTTTTTTTGTTAACCCATACTTCTCTTTCAATAGATGACTTTCTGGCTGTTCTGGCAATCGTATTCTGACAGCTGGCACCTGTAACTGTCAGAATACCCAAACTGTGGCTGCAACTGATTGGTTGCAGTCAGTGTTCTGCTCAATATTTTCCACCCAGCTCCTTCACTTTTTCAATTGAAATTTGTGAAGCTGAGTGGTGTCAGCAGAGCCTCTGATTTACAGGAATAATCTAAAACTTTAGCCATATATGGCCAACTAACTCTGGCCCTCTCACTAACACATGCTTAAATATAATCAAACATCTGCTACTGGCTTATGTGTATTACGTAATGTGACAGCAACCCTGTAACTGCTGACAAAGAATGGAATATGAAGATGTGAAAAACTACCCACATCTAGGACAATTTGATAAATGATGATAACAATCTAGCACATTGGGGAGCAGCCCCAAATTTGCTGTATCTGTAACTGATTATGGCACTACCTATTACTAAGAGTAGCTGTCCAGCATAAGTGCATTCTCTCATTAACACCGACTCCCGCCCGCCATATAGTAAAATGACGGATGCAAGGCGGTTCTCTCGTTCTGGGAGGATATCATATGACATCCTCCCATTCTATCCGCGCATGCGTGGCTCCCGGAGCGCGCAGTGCGGCGATCTGCAGTGTGCTGTGTCCCTCGGACAGCGGAAAGAGCCAAAAATGTCAGCTCGGTCATGTGATCAGCTGTGTCCAATCACAGCTGATCACATGTAAACAGGGAAATGCCAGTTATCAGCGTTTCTCTCCTCTCGAGCTGTCACGCTGACAGCTCGTGAGGGGAGGAGAGACGGTAATAGGCATTCTGTGGAGGGGACATGTACACAGATCAACAGAGCACTGATGACAAGTGTGCCCTGATGATCTGTGTAGCCCCAGCAGCGCCACCTGTCAGTGACCATCAGTGCCAGCTCTCAGTGCTCATCCATGCCACCTGCCAGTGCCCATCAGTGCCACATCAGTGCACATTTCAGTGCCCATCAGTGCCACATCAATGCCATATATCAGTGCCCATCTGAGCTGCCTTTCAGTGTCACCCACCAGTGCCAGTCAGTGCCACCTATCAATGCCAGTCAGTGCCACCTATCAGTGCTGTCAGTCAGTGCCTCCTATCAGTGTGCATCAGTGCCGCGTATCAGTGCTCGTTAGTGATGCCTATCAGTGCCACCTAACAGTGCCAGTAGGTGCCACCTATCAGTGCCATATGAGTGCTGCCTTTCAGTGCCCATCAGTGATGTCTGTCAATGCCCATCAGTGCCACTTACCAGTGCCTCCTCATCAGTGCCCATCAGTGCCACCTATCAGTGTCCATCAGTGCAGCCTATCAGTGGCCATCAGTGCAGCCTTATTTTCGCACATCAGTGAAGGAGAAAAATCACTTAATTACAACATTTTATAACAAAAACAAAGAAAAAACATTTTTTTTTCAAAATTTTCAGTGGTTTTTGGCTTGTTTAAGAAAGAATAAAAAACCCAGAGGTGATTAAATACCACCAAAATAAAGCTCTATCTGTCACAAAAAAATGATAAAAATGGCATTTTGGTACAGTGTTGCATGACCGCGCAATTGTCATTCAAAGTGTGACAGCCCTGAAAGCTGGAAATTGGCCTGGGCAGGAAGGGGGTATAAGTGCCCTGTAGGCTAGTGGAAAAAAAAATAGTTGCTCTCAGTTTCCAGAAAACACAACCCTGTCCTATTGATTTGAGCCAAAGAGGAGAAAGTAATTCAATGAAGCAAGTGGTGTGGTAAGCAAAAACTGAAAAGGGGATATCCACCATGAAGCCTAGAACACACAATGAGAATATAGCATGGATGATCACTTTTTTTTTCTCTGCTAATCTTATATTGAAAACGAATAGGTTACTAAAGTTACAAAAGTTCTCATAAGACACAATACAACTTTGGAAAGTGATGAAATGTATTGTACTGTATTTGTAATGTGATCTTTTGTGTTTTAAGCATGAGCCATCTTGGTCACTCGATTTCTTTCACAGAAATACTATACCAATTATACAAAAATTTTTCCTTCTGTAATCTGACAAGCAAAATTTTCGTGCTTGTCCTTCGGATACTTTTGCATTAACTGCAGTGCTTGGCTCTCAAAAGCTGTGTATTAACAATCAGATTAGACAATTGTTCCAAATGCAATTTTTTTTTCTGTATGATTTTCTCATTGTGTGTACTAGGCATCAGTTAATCAACACAATCCAGATCAGATTCTGCTTTCTACATCTCCAGCTATCAGTCTTTACACTATTAACTCAGCAATGCTACTCTAAACAAAACCTCCCAATGGGAATGTGTAATAGAATGATTCTGGAGCTTGACTATAATTGAGCTGAAAAAGGCCTTTCTAAAAATGCAGATTTTTTCCCCTCTCTTTCATTCTACTTTAAATTCTTGTAGAATGTCAGAGCATTCAAATATAATTATATCTACATCCAGCTATTAGGCAGTCAAAATGACCTGAAAAGCTGCTCTAAAATCATTATTTTTGGCCTTCTCTTCAGCTTACACATGAATATTCAGAACTTGAAAGTGAAAGCTTTAAGACAGGTTAGTGCTAAAGTATGTGTGGCAATGCTATGAGAACTTAGAATACAATTTTAATTTAGGGGAAAAAAAGATGAATTTACCACAATTTAGGCTAATGGCCACACTTGAATCTGGTCTTATGCAAAATGTAAACTAGAGGTCCAGGATCTTATAAACATACAGGAAAGATGGTTGCATTGATGAAAAATGTAGGAAGAGACAAATATTCCTTAATTAGAGCTGAGACTACCTGAGCCATGAGCCTAGTGGGAATTCCTAATTGTGATATGTCTGTTGCTATACTATTGTCATATTTATTTTCAATGGACTTGAGAACAGTAACTCGGTTAACTAATCTGAGTTTTTCATGCAGAGACATGCAATGCTTTTTTAGATTTCATAAACCCATACTATGTATATTCTGAGAAATGTTGCAAATGTGCTGAGAAGAGTTTACTGAGTTTAACATCTAACAGATCTGAGGTCAGCTGTATCTGTTGTTTACTTTAAGTAACAATTGCATAGTTACTGCACATTTAATAAAATATAGTTTTTGCCTTCACTCATTTAATAATCTGTGACTGTTTCTTAAATCTTGACCAATGTGGATAAAAAATCTATCGGAATATATAACAGTAAACTTTTTTTTTTTCATATGATCAAATAAATGAAATACGTACAAGGGATACCTACTGTATGTTATGCAAATCACATGATTTAGAAATTGAATTTCCTTTATAAAATAACCCATGTTTGACTCCTTTGATATTTACTGTGACTTGTATTAATGCTATGCAAGCTACTTGGGCAGTATATAATTAAACTAAACTAGCTGATTTCTGGAGATAACACAACAACCTGAAGCACCACTGTTAGCTTGCATACAGACGGTGCACTTTAAATCTCTTAGGTGTTAATACTGTTGAGGCCACAATATAAGGTTTGGGTTTGACCTGTGATCTCACCTTTTAATTACACATCTGGATAGATTATATGTTGAAAAATTGTACCTGACACACAGTAAGCTATAATTTGATTCTCTCCTGTTACACTCCACAGTTAGCACTTGCCACCAAATAATAACGTACCACCTTGTGAAAACAGGGACAGTTGTCAGAAAAAAAACTAAGTTGTAAGGTTATTTCGAATAACCCTACAAAACACCCCCCACCCATTACATTAAGTTCAACACATTTTCCAGACACTCTGTTAAAAGTAAATATAAATGTACAATAAATAATGTAAATTTAAAATATTAATATATTTGCTCACTTTCCTTTTATATATAAGAATGTAATTATGTTCAAAGCAATACTCAATCTATCTCTACTGAAGTATAACAAAAATAAATCTTATTAAAGGATTTTTTTATGTACTAGAGGGGATTATTGAATGCTGCTCTGAACCTTTTTCTTTTTGTTATAACATTTGATTTGGTCCAGCGTCCTCTGTTAATATATCAGTAAAAACAATCTGAAATGTCAGATTTGTTTTACTTATCCAGTTTTACATATAAAAGTATTATGTGGTAAAACCAAGCTAACATGCTGATTTGAATTTAAATGGTACCTTTCACCTAAAACATAACAACTATAAAGTAGCACCTTCAACTTACATTTTTAAAAAATTGAATCAAATGTTTGTTTTGTTTTTATGTATGTTTACACTTAGGCCCAGTTTACTCAGATGCAATATCAGATGCGACTTGGGTTGCACTGAATTGCATGACAATGGAAAAACACTGCTTCCATTGATGCCTGTATAACATCAATGCAGCGCAGCTGGAATATGACTTTGGGGAAGAATCCTGTGCTACTTTGATGCCTTCAATGAAAATGCATCAAAATCTACCTGTGTTTTTGTGCACGATTTGTGCTGGTTATTAGGAGCTGACACCCACCCCCATGATACCCCTGGAGACTCTGCCCTTATCACATCATAGAATGGGGTCTCAGAGGGCCAGTACATGGTGTCATGGGGCAAAGTCACCAGGTGACATCGCTGGGTGTCCCCACCCAGGGCAGAGTCACCTGGTAATATCATCAGTTGTCCCCACCCCATTACATCATAGAGCATCCAGGGATGTCATGGGAATGGGTCAGGTCACCCCACCCCTTTGTTAACTTACCAATGTCATTCAGCACGTGTCAATCGATGGGAGCAGTCGTGTTCAGTGGGTGACATTTTTTTTTCAATGTGATTGCTGATGGATTTACATTGGGGGACTTTTTTAATAAAGAACTTTTCAAAAATGGTTTAGTGTTTTTATTTACATTTGAGTTTTTTTAGTGAATGAGTAAGGATTCTGTGTATCCCATAATCATTTACATGGGGGGGTAGGAACAGGGGGCCCCTTTGTTAAGGGGGGCTTCCAGGTTCCAAAAAGACTGCAGTTTAGCAAGCAATAAGGAGTGATCAAGTTACAGAGAGCTGAAGTGTTTGTCCTGTATGGACAAACCAAGCAGTACAATACAGTAGAGAAAGGTTAAAGGACCCTGAAAAAAAACAGCTAGAAGCACCTTGCACCCAGAGTTTGAACCAGAAGAGGCCTAAACATCTATCTGGTATCTTTGAAAATGTGTGAACAGTGGACCAGGTGGTGGCCTGGTCCATCTGGGAAGCAGATGCTTGATGCTAAGAAGTCCAAGAGACACCAACAGCCCTGGTGGAATGGACTCTAATACCAAAAGGAGATACTCTGTCCCTAAGGGTCTATGCCCTGGAAAGTAGTAGCCTGATCCACCTAGCAATGGTAGAATGGGCCTTTACGAGGGCCCACAGAGAGAACAAAGAGAGACTCAGCCTTGTTAGGAGAGGATACAAATTTAAAGTAGACCCTGACAACAATGTCAACATCTAGGCAATGGAGGGAGATTTCCTTATGTTTTGGGGCAGGACAAAGGTAAGGTGAGGTGGAAAGAAAAAACCACCTTCGATCAGAAGGAAGGTTTTTGAATCAAAACCACTTTGTTCTTGTTTAAAAGTGTTACTTGTTACAGTTTAGGAGTTGCCAGCTCAAAAACACACCTAACAGATGTAATGACTACCATGAAGGCAACCTTACAAACGAGGTCTTTCAACAGAATATCTCTGATTGTTTGAAAGAGAGTTATTGTCAGAACCTGGAATCAAACCTGGGCCTTCTGTGGTGAGAGACAGCGTTTCTTCTCACTGAGCCACCTGGAATGCTGGACAGCTCCCTTGACAATTCTTTGGATGATCCTGCCTTTGCCCTGTTTTGTCTTGAACCTTGAACTCCTTGCTCCTCCCATGAACTTCCTATAAAAGCCATGTCTCTGCACTTCCTGGTTGCCAGATTATTGTGCCTTACCAGCCAATATCCTGCTTATACTGTTCCTGCTGCTGTCTTCATCTATGTTACCGACTTTGGCTTGCTACTGACTACGTGTCAGGAATGGACTGGCCAGCAATGGTGGGACTCACCTGCCTTTTGATCTGCAGTACCAGGGCTGGCCAGCGGGTGCTCCCAGCAATCAGAGACTCAACCTTTCAGCCAGCTAACACCTGGAACTGATTATACTGGTGTATTTAAGGGATGGCCAGACTTGCAGACTCTGCCTTGGTGTTGTGTTTGTCCTGGGCCCTGTATCTGTCCTGCATCCTGTTTCTGTTGCTTTGCTAACCCTGCCTGATCTGAACGCTGCTGACTTCTCCTCTCTGCTCTGATCCCGGCTCGCTCCTGACCATTCCTCTGCCTGACCCTCTGTACCACGCTGCTTGCTACCTGTTCTGATCCCTGGCTTGTGACCCTGACCATCCCTCTGCCTGACCCTCTGTACTATGCTGCTAGCTACCTGCTGAACCTGGCCTGTGACCCCGACCCATCTCCGCTTGCTCCCCCTGTACCTACCTGCCCTATTGATATTGACCCGGCCTACCTGACGACGCTTGCTTGTATGTACTGTTATCTGTGGGTGGTTGGTTTGGTTTGTTTGCACTGTATTATGTTTTAGTATTGCACTGCGTTTATGTTTGTATTGTTAGTGTTAATAAATTATATTGTTTATGAAGTCTGCGTTTCCCTGCGTCAGTCACACACACTCTGGTCACACCTGGGAGCCTGACATTACACCAAGGCCAATCCTGACCAGAAGTGGCTGCACAGGGAAGCCATCTTGGCTTGTTGCTGGGAAGGATGGATCTGGATGAGGTTGAGTATTTATCTCTGCTAGTGCTTGATGACAGAAAATATGCTTATCAGACTCTGAAGGAGTATCCCCGGGATGAATGAACTGCTAGAATGTATACGGCTCGCTCATGTTCTAGTAGATCAGGGCACAGATTTCTCTATGGTGCAGCCATTGATTAAGGTTTGTGTTGAGTTGGTTTCATCTGGTTCCCCCGAATGCAGGGATGAATTTTTGCCACCATTTAGTGCAGACCAGGTAGAGTCCCTGGTGTGGTTATTAGAGGATGATGTGGGTTACTTTCTGGAGCGTTATTCCTACATGTTCACCACAGGTACTAAGAGATTGTATAAACGCAGTGCAGTCTTTGGTCAGACAGGCTTTGTGTAAGCTCAGCTTTGTTCAACCCATACTGCAGACATGGACAGATTTGTTACACCCAGCCTCAGTCAGCTTACAAAAACCCAGTCCTGCTTCTAAGCTATTTCCTCAAAACTCTACTCCTGTATTCCCAACAACTCCCCCAGTTACAGCCCAGTATACTTGGCTATCTACCGCATGTCAGTACCTGTTCCCACTCGCTGCACCTATCCTGCCTTTAACCCTGTAAAAAAGCCCTCTGTAGCAACTGCTCCCTCTCCTGTTCCAATCCTCCGGTTCTTCTCTGTCTCCAGCTGCTCCATTCGTTTGCAGACCTGCGTTTACTTGCAGTGCTCCAGTAGTTAAAACCAGAAAAAAGCGAAAATTCTTTCCAACCAATACCATCCTGCCAGTATCCAAACCGGTGAACCTGCCTTCCGTGGTTCAGCCTGAATCCCTCTACTCAGCCTGATGCCTGTACTCAGCCTGATGCCTGTACTCAGCCTGATGCCTGTACGCAGCCTGATGCCTGTACGCAGCCTGATGCCTCTCTTCTGCCTGAAGCCTCTCTTCTGCCTGAAGCCTCTCTTCTGCCTGAAGCCTCTACTCGGCCTGAAGCCTCTACTCATCCGGACGCCGGCATTCAGCCTGATGCCTCTACCCAGCATGATGAACTGATCCAGCCTGACGATCCTATTAGGCCAGTTGACTCGATGCCCGCTGTTGATCCAGATGATCCGGTACCTGATCCGGTGCCCGCTATCGTGCCAATTGACTCAGAGCCCGCTGTCGTACCTGGTGACTCGGTGCCCACTGCCTTGCCAGATGACGCGGTGCCCGCTGGCGAGCCAAATGACCTGATGCCTGGTGACCCAGGGCCCGCTGTCATACCTGGTGACCCGATGCCCGCTGTCGAGCCAGACGATCCAATGCCTGGTGACCCCGGTGCCCACTGTCGTGCCTGTTGACTCGGAGCCCACTGCCTTGCCAGATGACGCGGTGCCCGCTGTCGAGCCAAATGACTTGATGCCTGGTGACCCGATGCCCGCTGTCCAGTCAGACGATCCAATGTCTGACCCAGTGCCCGCGGTCATACCAGTTGACTCGGAGCCCACTGCCTTGCCAGATGACGCGGTGCCCGCTGTCGAGCCAAATGACCTGATGCCTGGTGACCCGATGCCCGCTGTCCAGTCAGACGATCCAATGTCTGACCCAGTGCCAGCGGTCATGCCAGTTGACTCGGAGCCCACTGTCGTGCCTGGTGACTCGGTGCCCGCCGCTTCGCCTGGGGGCCGAGACCTGTCGCTCCGCCTGGGGGTCCGGCACCCCCCGCCGCTCCGCCTGGGGTCCGGCGCCCGCCGCCCCGCCTGGGGGCCCGAGACCTGTCGCTCCGCCTGAGGGCCCGATACCTGTCGCTCCACCTGGGGGTCCGGCGCCCACCGCTCCGCCTGAGGGCCCGAGACCTGTCGCTCCACCTGGGGGGCCGGCGCCCGCCGCTCGCCTGAGGGCCCGAGACCTGTCGCTCCACCTGGGGGGCCGGCGCCCGCCGCTCCGCCTGAGGGCCGAGACCTGTCGCTCCACCTGGGGGTCCGGCGCCCGCCGCTCCGCCTGAGGGCCCGAGACCTGTCGCTCCACCTGGGGGTCCGGGCGCCCGCCGCTCTGCCTGAGGGCCCGAGACCTGTCGCTCCATCTGGGGGTCCGGCGCCCGCCGCTCCGCCTGGGGGCCCGATGCCTGTCGCCCCGCCTGGGGGTCGGCGCCCGCCGCCCCGCCTGGGGGCCCGATGCCTGTCGCTCGCCCCGCCTGGGGGCCCGATGCCTGTCGTCCCCGCCTGGGGGCCCGGCACCCGCTGCTCCGCCTGGGGCCCGATGCCTGTCGCCCCGCCTGGGGGCCCGATGCCTGTCGCCCCCTGCCTGGGGGCCCGATGCCTGCCGCTCCGCCTGGGGGCCCGGCGCTCGCCGCTCCGCCTAGGGGCCCGATGCCCGCCGCTCCCGCCCGGGGGCCCGGTGCCTGCCGCTCTACCGCCCGGGGGCCCGGTGCCTGCCGCTCCGCCCGGGGGCCCGGTGCCCGCCGCTCCGCCCAGGGGCCCGGTGCCTGCTGCTCCGCCTGGTGGCCCGCTGCCTGCTGCTTCACCTGGTAATCCGATGTGCCTCTGCCCGGAGTCCTGCCCGATGTGCCTCTGCCCGGAGTCCTGCCCGATGTGCCTCTGCCCGGAGTCCTGCCCGATGTGCCTCTGCCCGATGTGCCTCTGCCCGATGTGCCTCTGCCCGGTGTGCCTCTGCCCGGTGTGCCACTGCCCGGAGTCCAGCCGGTGTGCCGCTGCCCGGAGTCCAGCCCGGTGTGCCGCTGCCCGGAGTCCAGCCCGATGTGCCGCTGCCCGGAGTCCAGCCCGGTGTGCCGCTGCCCGGAGTCCAGCCCGGTGTGCCGCTGCCCGGAGTCCTGCCCGGTTTGCCAGTCTTTGATATCCCGCCAGTTACCAGACCCGGGCGGTGGAACATTTTGCCCAGCTAGGACTGTTTGGAGCGTCCTGAGGCCGCTCCTTGAGGGGGGGGGTACTGTCAGAATGGACTGGCCAGCAATGGTGGGACTCACCTGCCTTTTGATCTGCAGTACCAGGGCTGGCCAGCGGGTGCTCCCAGCAATCAGAGACTCAACCTTTCAGCCAGCTAACACCTGGAACTGATTATACTGGTGTATTTAAGGGATGGCCAGACTTGCAGACTCTGCCTTGGTGTTGTGTTTGTCCTGGGCCCTGTATCTGTCCTGCATCCTGTTTCTGTTGCTTTGCTGACCCTGCCTGATCTGAACCGCTGCTGACTTCTCCTGCTCTGATCCCGGCTCGCTCCTGACCATCCCTCTGCCTGACCCTCTGTACCACGCTGCTTGCTACCTGTTCTGATCCCTGGCTTGTGACCCTGACCATCCCTCTGCCTGACCCTCTGTACTACGCTGCTAGCTACCTGCTGAACCTTGCCTGTGACCCCGACCCATCTCCGCTTGCTCCCCCTGTACCTACCTGCCCTATTGATATTGACCCGGCCTGCCTGACGACGCTTGCTTGTATGTACTGTTATCTGTGGGTGGTTGGTTTGGTTTGTTTGCACTGTATTATGTTTTAGTATTGCACTGCGTTTATGTTTGTATTGTTAGTGTTAATAAATTATATTGTTTATCACATATCTGAAGTCTGCGTTTCCCTGCGTCAGTCACACACCTCTGGTCATACCTGGGAGCCCTGACACTACGATTCTGCCTCATCCTATCTACTACCATTGGTGACCGGCCCTTGGATTGTGACTGACTCCGCTTCTGTTTGATCCCTGAACTGTTTGATCCGCTTTTGGTTTACAGCCTACTCATTCCCTGGTGGGGTGATCCTGAGATCTGCGACCTGGCATTCACACGCAGCCAAATCCATCTCCACCATTAGGAGCTCTGGGGAAGACCGGTGGATGCTTAGACCCCGCACCTCAGGTGAGCATTCCCAGGGTGGGCCGCTGGTGTACCAATCCTGCTGGTTTCAGGTAAGCCTTACAACTGCTGTAGCAACTGGTCTCTGAACCTGACCTTATATCGTGACAGTTATCTTAAAGTGGTTGTAAACCCTCTCATATATCCAGTGAAGTGAATAGCCTCAGATGATACACAGAGGTGAAACAAATTCTCCTATATATGTTTTGCTTGTTTATTTGCAGTTTTCTCTCTTGCACATCTCTTTAAAAGTGCTGATTTTAGATAAAATCCTTCTGCATTTCTCAGTATCACAGAGGAAGGGGCAGGGAGCTGCAGTTAGAGCTGATTGTAGGAAAGGGCACACACCCCTCCACACATCACATAAGAGCCTTGTTCTGAATAGACAAGCTGTCTACTGAGTTCTTTTCACCCCCTCCCTCCAACACAAATTTATCTCATGTGTCAGGAAAACTTCTCATAAGTGACACATGCTAATAACAGAGGAAGGACTCACCAGAGAGAAACGACACTTAGAGCTGTGGAGAGAAACAAGTAAACACTGCAGATAGATGTGATCTGTTAAGATTTCATAACTGAGGTTTACAACCACTTTAAGTACAGAGAGCACCAGGCTGAGATGCCAAGGAGACACAGGAGTTTGGATCGGAGAGTTTATATTGGCAGGTCCTCGAGGAACCATCTTAATGAGAGATTGTAAGGCATGAGGTTTCTAGAATATGATGGATAAAGCAGAAACCTATTCCTTGTTGGTATTCAGAGCCTGATGCTGGTCCAGACTAGAGTAAAGAAAGGCCTAAATACATGTGAAAGAGTATTCCCTGGTATGCATCTTCCTTACCTTGCACCAGGGAAAGTAAGCTTTCTGTGTGTAACAGTAGATCTTACAGGAGTTGAATTTTCTTGCTCTGAGTAAAGGATAGCAGAGTCAGAAATACCTCCATCAGAACTTGGGTTTCAACAACCGTGCCATTAAAGCCAGGGAGGAAGGACTGAG